TGCCAGATGGAACAGTATCCACTCGTATTACCAGGGATACCTAGAAGGACAGGAAACGAACTAACTGTAAAAACAAAGATGAACTGTTAATAAGACAAAACCTTTCAGGAGGAAACAAAAGGCATCCTTATTGTTTATATCTATACATGGATATATTTTTTTATCATTTTTATGTCGTAGTGTAAGCTATTCATTTCTTTGTAAAACACCACACCATTATCTTTTTGGGAGAATTCAAGGATGTGTCATAATGCACAAAAATTCATGAAAATAATTGGCATAGAAAGCACTCGCTGTAATGGTTATATTCAGAGTTAATGTCCATAGAATGAACATGTTTTTATATGAGAACTTCATAGAAAGAGATTATGAAAGATATAGAGGGCATTCATTGTTATATGCATGTCAGTAGTCTTAAAGAGTAGAGGACCTAACTCTCAGTATGGTTAATACAGCGATGCTTAATTCAATATGTTTTAGTGATTATAGATATTTTTTTGAAACCTCTCGTATTAATGTGAGGGTGACAATGTGAGGACACATTCCTTGAAGAGGGGTGCTGTGTAACGGACCAGCCCGTTACAGGTAGTTATCTTGCAGAAAACGTAGAGGGCAGTAAGCTTTTGGGGCGTAAGGGCTCAGAGCGCGATTACGGACGCACCATGCGTAAAGCAGCTCTCAGAGGGTCTCAGATGCTATAAATTGCGGTATCGAGCACAGGTTTCGTCACTTCGACGCTGGCTCTCGTCTTAGTCAGATAGCGAACTCTCCGCTTTGCTCCAGCTGAGCTAAAGTAAGGAAAAGGATTGGAAGCGAGAAATAGAGTTCCTACAAAAGGCAATCCCTGCCTTTACTACTTGTTGAGATTAATACAAATAATTGGTGTCGGTGTTAACTATGATAACGTGTTGGAGAAGTTGACTTATGTTTGTATTAATAAAGTATACAGTTAAACAATCCATCGTTTCATAACGTGTAATTAGTTGAGTCTCCATAGACTGATGTAATATAATCCTCTCATAGAGAATACACGTCCAGCTATCCAAAACACCTCTCATCTCCACACTCATATATTTTGGGAAAACGGAGCCACGTCAGGGCCTCTAAACTACAAGCCAAATAGAAACCGCTCGCATTATTCAGGATGGCAAATTCTTCGTCAGATGACGGTAATAGAGGCAAGGGACAGGCCAGTCCTCCAGCATCCAGGACCCGTTCTAGGATGGAGGGCCGTAACAATATGTTAAGAAGTTCTTTAAAAAAATGTGTTTTTCCCCCTTCAAAATCTCCAATCTATGTCCATTACAATTGTGTTTTCTGCGAGTGCTAATCATGATAATAGGTGCATCAATACATAGCGCTACTTTGCTACAAATCATCATCATTATATCTGTATTGTCATTTTTTTTTCTCGACATTACAATTATTCAATTAATGGACGCTTAACATGAAAATGTTTACCTGTTTTGAAGTCCATGAGTCAGCAGGATGAAATTAATCAGTTTTTCTGTTACAAACTGATGGACTGATTGATTTTTGTTAAGTATTCTTTCGGAGTTCAGAATGAAGCATGAGAACATGTACAGAAAATGGAGGATATGTACAAATGCATGATGTTTGTCAGTGTGCGCATAAGTACATGCATATGAAAACTAGTCTTAGGGTGCTGACACCGTTGCGCACACCAACAATGGATTGTGCCTACACACTATGGCCCGAATTCACAAAGGAGGTTTGTCGACAAACCTTGGTTTTCGTACGTCGTATGACGCGTTTTTACGCGTTTTTTACAAACCTGGTTTGTAAAGAACCAAAGGAGGTTTGGCGAAACAAAAGGACGTTTATCGACAAACCTCCTTTGTGAATTCGGGCCTATGCGTGAGCATAGACCTTTGGCTGCGTGCGTGTGCTTGTGTATGTGTTTGTGTGAGAAGTCTCGGCGCCTGATTACGATCATGAATTCCCTCCTCCATAGACGCCCCTCCCCCAATCCCACGCCCTCCTCGAAAAAAAAAAGATTCATGCCACTTTTGTGTTCTCATTTGTGTTCTTATTGTTGAAGCACATCTTAGAGTGCAAATACGGGTTGGTTTATACTTGGGGGAAAATTCGGGAAGACAATGGAAAAACAGGGAGATTCGTACAAAATTTACTCAAATTTTTGACTGGTGAAGCTGTAGATAAGCCAGGGTGTTAGCGCGGTAGAGTATATGAGGTGTAGTTCAAATGTTAGGACGCAATTTTGACAGGCATCCAGCAGGAATTTTGATGTAAATTTTGATGTAAATTGTGTCAAATTGACCCGGTTGAGAACTGAGGAGGGATTGGGGCTGATACGTACATCGAGGGAGGGAATAAAGCTTTGTGTCAAAGTAAAAATATCTAAAAACTGTGTATCAGAAAACATTTGTTCATTATATTCCTACTCTATGTAATGTGAGTTTTAAAAGAACACACCGACAAAAGTGAAGGCTTCACTAAAGGCCGACCCCGGGTGCAGCGGGTGTTCGCAGGATCGCCTCGGTCAGTTCAGGTCAGCCTACTTGTGCGAAAGCCCACGACACCAACATTAACAAAATATACATGTAACGAGCCAAGCAATACGGAGGATTCAATTTAATGATTCAATTTGGTTCCATCTTTATTGGTTCAGACTTAAACAAGGGACACACCCAAATCCAACATGGAGTCTTAGAGGCTGTTCACACCGCAATGAGATAGCGCGGTCTATCGTAGCACCCCCTTTTTTCTAGCGCGCGCTAGCCCGCGCTATCTCTCGTGGACCACCCCCAAGAGGTGCTCCAGTGTTGGCTCGCCGTGGCTCGCTGTTGGGCGGACCGAAACGACGTTGTACCTTCCAAACCGCGGAGATAGCGCGGTCTGGCGCGCGCTATCTCTGCCGGTGTGAACAGCCTCTTAAATTGTCTCTAAAGACCTCCTTTCTCAGAGCCCATCAAAACATATGTCTCTCTACTAACATACCAACATAACCAACATACCTTCTCTGCATACATTGCCATGTACATTTATTTATATTATATTCATGCCCAATAAGCCAGTTCACGGTTGCAGTCTGAGCTTGAGCAGATAAAGGTCAATGCAGAACAAATTTTGAAATACACGGAGACGAAATATTGGATACGTGCTCTTGAAAGTTATGTAATCATTATTCATTAATGCACTCCATAATACACAGGTGGAAGTATTCTTTGTAAAATGGGAAACAAAGGCTATTTTATAGCACCTCCATCGCTGTAGGAGTGATTATTGCAAATGTACAAAGTGGGACCTCTTTATGTTTTGAAGATCTGTGGATATTCGGGGTCATTGCAGTAAGGTGCTAACCGTGAACTGGTCTATTGCCCATGCTTGGTCATTGAAGTGTTTACCATTGTTTAAGTCATGGCTTCCACAAGGTGCAGTGGATATGTGCATATTTGCACACACACACACACACACACACACACACTCAAGAAACTAGTAGATACATGTACATGTATGTGCATATTTGCATATGTGTACAGCACCTGTAGTCATACCACTACATATATATAACTGACAGTTCACTAGAGCGACAGCCCCAGGGACCGACAATGACACAAGCTTCAAGAAACCAATATTGACAAGACCGCGAATCCCAACTTGATATACGATCGAGACCGACAAAAAAAAATGCATGAGAACATATAAAAATGGAGAGTGTATCAAAAGGTCCACGAGGCCGATGATATAAAACGACGACAGCCCTTTAGACTGATGAAACAAAAAATACATAGGGGAAGATAGAAACAAAAATACTGGTCTCCTGGGCTGTAGTCTACATCGAGAAATGTAGACAAATTAGCTCAAGTAAATGCCAAAACAACTTTTATAAAATTGTCCTATCTGGTGATTTTCTTGCGAATCCAAGAAATAAGAACAGTTATTTTGGAGGCAGATTTCAGGAAAGATTCTGTGATTAGAATGGTACAAACAGTCATATTTACTGATGATTGAATAATAATTATTGTAAATGATACATCTATGTATGCGTTCTTCGAACTAATACACACAGTTTGACGCGATTTCAGTTCGTTTTTATGTTGACGCATTATGGGCAAATGAAAAATTTGTATGCGATCAAGTGTGTAAGATCAATAGATATTATGCCAACAAATAACGCTGCGACTATTTGGTTTCGGCTCATTCTAATTGGTCAACCGTGCATTTATTCCCTTTTCAGGTAAAACTGCATTACATTGCAGCAAAGCTGAGGTCAGGTTACCGGTCACGGTGACGTTCTATCATGATGACGTTTTACAAAACAACGCCCGTTTCTCACAAACGGCTCCGCCATTTTCGCCATGAGTGTTCCATCGGTTAGTTTGTTCCAGGAAACTGTAGGCACACACAAATGAATTAATTAGCTTTAACGTTTGTGTAATATACCATCAAACACAAGGTAAACTTTCCGATAAAAAACAGAGAGCTAAATTTTGAGAGAAATTCCTAGCGTGTTATCGTCGAACAATTTTATGCACTGATTTGTGACCTGATTTGACAATCTACAATTCATTTTGAAGCAAGGGATCGTTGATGTTATATTTGAATGAACCGGAGCACGTTGGTTTATGTGAAGGAAATCAGACGAATAAAGTGGAGTTATCAAACTTGTACCGACAGCGCCAGGACTGTCCCAGACGGATTATTTCATTATAACATTTGAATTATGCTCGCAATTATTACTTTATCAAATTAAAATAATTCCTGTGCCGTATTTTCCAATGCATACGCGTTAGTGAGCTACGAATAGTTTAAACTGCAGGGTAACAGAGAAAGATATATACCTCTCAAGCTGTAGAGCGGGTAACTTTACTGATGTGTTTAGTCTCTTCCCGGAGCGATTCACAGAACGCAAAGGTGACTTTGACCATGCTTTGACAAACTCGAAATATTAGGTCTAGAACGAAGGAATATCCATAAGATTCGCTTCAGAATTGGGCCCACGGACATAGCAAAACATGGCTGAAAAAGCAGTAAATGAGCCTGCTGAGGTCGATAAAGCCCTTCTCACGGCAGCAAGTAATGGCCGTTTTGAAGTGGTTGTGTATCTCGTTGGTCAAGGAGCACAGATTGAAACTCGTGATAATGATGATGAGACACCTCTTCACTGTGCATCACGCGATGGTCACCTCGATGTAGTTAAGTATCTCATTGGTCAAGGAGCACAGATTGACACGTGTAGTAATGATGGTCAAACAGCACTTCATTTTGCATCACACAATGGTCACATCAAAGTAGTTCAATATCTCGTTGGTCAAGGAGCACAGTTTGATAAGCCTAGTAACCGTGGTAACACCGCTCTTCTTAATGCATCAATCTCCGGTCATCTTGATGTAGTTCATTACCTCGTTGGTAAAGGAGCAGAGATAGAATGGGGCAATATGGCTGGTCGAAGACCACTTCATCATGCATCAGAGAAAGGTTTTCTTGATGTAGTTCAGTACCTCATTAGTCAAGGAGCACAGGTGGAGAGTGGTGATACAAATGAAACCACACCATTTCATCTTGCATCATTCTATGGTAATCTTGATGTAGTTAAGTATCTCGTTGGTAAAGGAGCACAGATTGATAAGCCTAATGATAAGGGTAGTTTGACGGCACTTCACATGTCATCAAGATCAGGTCATATTGAGGTAGTTGAGTACCTCATTGGTCTAGGAGCACAGGTAGAGATTGAGAATGACGATGCTATAACATCACTTCATATGGCATCAATGGAAGGTTTTCTTGATATAGTTAAATGCCTTGTTAGTCAAGGGGCACTGGTAGAGAGATGTGAGAAATTTGGTTTCACAGCTCTTTACTGGGCATCAGTCGATGGTCATCTTGATATAGTTAAATACCTCTGTGGTCAAGGAGCACAGGTTAATAGCGATGGCCTGGACGGTTCCACACCACTTCTTGTTGCATCAAGCAATGGTCATCTTGGTGTAGTTCAGTACCTCGTCGGGCAAGGAGCACAGTTAAAGAGGGGAAATAATGATGGTGAGACACCGCTTGTTGTTGCATCACGCAATGGTCATCTTGATGTAGTTCGGTATCTCCAGAGTGAACAAGAAAAGAAAGAAGAAGCATCACCTGAAGGTAAAATTCGCATTTTAACAGTAATCACTATTTCATGTGAACAAGGGATGAATTTATAGGGACAGAACTGGCATAATACCCTTAGTTTTGAGTTGTTTTTTCCTCTTCATTTTGTTAGAGGAATATGTAAATTGCCATATTTAAATTAATGCGATGTAATACTTTGTTCTTCAATCTTTTTTTTACCCCGACTTACCCAAATTACAATACTATATATTCCTGATTTTCCTGATTCTATAACTGAACGAGTTGTATACAAAATAAATTATATATTGCCGTTTGGTCCAATGCCACTTGGTCCTATAGCCAGTTCGTTCAACTTCAATTAGTCTACAACCAGTTTACATGAGTACATTGTGATTACATTATCAGGGATGATTTTAATATTTATTTCTCTTTATACATCATACAATGAATTGCCCAAGGATTGTACTTTGCAGTTGGGTGTGATGTCTGAATATTCACTTGCGAGGAAGCGAAGCGAGCGGGGAAACTAAGGGTGCGTTTAATCGACAATTTTTCACCCTAGAATCACGGTTTCTAAAGACGTTTAGTTTAAAACGCAATGCGTTCAAGCGATTTTTTCGTCGGTCGTAAAAATAAATGTGTTTAAAAACACAAACATGAAAAGCTGAAAAAGATGGGTTTTGTATCATGATTCTGCAGAATCACGGTCGCTAAAATTCGATTGAACGAACGTAGTCTCAATCATGATTCTATTGCGTCATTATCGTGGCCTGTTCCGGTTTGGGCAAAAAACGCGCGCTTGCTTTTCATGCAATTTGCGTTGTTCTGTTATGTTATTCCTTGTTTTCCTTCCATCATTTTCTCTTTCTGTCTTTCCTTATGTTATTCTTTGTTTCTTCCTTCTATTCTTATGTTATTATTTGTTTGTTCCTTCTATCACCTTCTCTTATGTTATTCTTTTTTTTATAATTCTATCACTTTCTCTTATGTTATTCTTTATTTTAATCATTCTGTCACTTTCTCTTTCTATCTTTCCTTATGTTATTTTTTATTCTTCCTTCTTTCACCTTCTCTTGTGTTATTCTTTGTTTTAATCATTCTATCGACTTTCTCTTTCTGTCTTTCCTTATGTTATTCCTTGTTTCTACCTTCTATCACCTTCTGTTATGTTTTTCTTTGTTTTAATCATTCTATCACTTTCTCTTTCTGTTCTTCCTTATGTTATCCTTTGTTCCTTCCTTTTTTTCACATTCTCTTTCCGTCTTTCCTTATGTTATTCCTTGTTTCTTCCTTATATTCTTATGTTATTCTTTGTTTTGTTTTCCTTCTATTACCTTCTCTTATGTTATTCTTTGTTTTTATATATCACTTTCTTTTTTGTGTTATTCTTTGTTTCTTCCTTCTATTCTTATGTTATGCTTTGTTTTTCCTTCTATCACCTTTTATGTAATTCTTTGTTTTAAGCATTCTATCACTTTCTCTTTCTGTCTTTCCTTATGTTATTATTCTTTGTTTCCTTCCTTCTATCACCTTCTCATTCTTTGTTTTATTATTGCGATCTATGCTCAAAACAGCAGTTGACAGTCGGCCGTAAACAATTCCAGAAAGCGCGCGCCGAAGTTCCTGGTTCAAACTGCGCAGTGTGATCCTCAGTGGCTGGGCTCGAAATGAGCTAGAATCAGCGTTGATGAAAAATCGCTTAAACGCTAACCGCAGTGACCTTGCTTTTTGTAACGGCGTTTTGATTTGTGATTCATGTTTGTGATTCTAGCATCGAAAAATCGATTGAACGCACCCTTAATATGATTTGTGAGGTCGCAGTGCGAAAAATTACATCTTATAAAGAGGAAAAACACAATCATAATGGGGTTATAGGCACATTCTCATAACGGAAGACTGAAATGACCTTTGATAAGTAAAACAATTATATGATTTATAAATGCGAACGGGCGTAGCAAGCGAACTTTGGGGGGAATTGCTCTTAGTCGCTTTAAATTAGGGGCACGTTTAATGATGAGAGGGAAAGGGGGTACTTATCGAAAGGGATAAATTAAGACACTTATTAGAAGAATTAATACACTTATTAGAAGAAAAAAGTAGCACATGTCAAAGTACAAAGGGTAATTATCAAAGGTGAAAATGAAGCACTCACCAGGGATGAAAAAGAGCACTTATGAAAATGGGAAATGGGCATTTCTTGACGGAAATGGGGCACCCATCTGATTTTGATAGGGGCATTTATAAGAAGAGAATAGGGGATAGGTCCCTTATTAGAAATAGAAAGGGGCACGTATCATTGTAAAAAGGGAAATTACCACAGGTGAAAAGAGGCACTTAACGCACCTCAAAAGAGACATTGACCAGATATGAAAAAGAAGCACTTATGATAATAAAAAGGGGCACTTATGATAAAAGAAAATTTGAATATATCGGAGGTGTAAGGGCGCTTTTATGAGCAGGGGTAAGTAGATTATATTAAAAAGAAAAATAGTCACATGTCAAAATATACGGGGCACTTATCAGTGATGAAAAGGGGGTGATTATGATAAAGGGAAGGGGCACTTATAAGAAGGAAAAGGAGCGTTTATTAGAAAGGAAAAGGGGCACCTGTCGAAATAAAAGGGGCAGTCATTAGAGGTAAAAAGGGTCACTTATCAGAGATTAAAAAGAGAAATTATCGGAGGTGAAGGAGGCACTTCTAGGTCGAGCGTACTCGCACTGATTTGACAGGCTTTTTTCCATTCAGTTCTATTCTCCATGATCTTTGGGAGCTCCTGCCTTGGTAGACAGATATCCTTTTCTAACTGGTCAATGTATTAAGTCATTGCTGGGCGACCTCTGGTGCGTTTGCCCCTTGAGGGCTCCCAGAAGAGCATTTGTGAAATGATTTCACTCTTGCTCCTCCAGCAGTTCCCACTGAAACGGAGTTGACGGTCTCTCAGTCTGGCTGAGATCGGTGTAATGTCCCTATACAGTTTAATATTGGTCATAATATGGTCCCTCCAGTTGACATTTAGTGCTGCTCTCAAGAGTCTTGTATAGCAACCATCCAGTTGTTTTGCCAGGCTACTTGTCAATGTCTAGGCTTCTGATCCATAGAGCAGTACAGTTTCCACTGAAGCCCTAAAGAAACGGACTTTCAGTTTTCTACCGAAGTTTATTTCCAAGTGGCTGTCAGCTTGTTCAAAGCCGTCCAGGCTTTTGCCTTTCGGATATTCAGATCTTGTTTTGACTGATCAACCCACGAGCCAAAGTACTGAAAGTCTTGGACCTGCTTCAGCTTTGTCCTGTCAGCAGTACAGATCTCGCCTTCACGAAGGTTGTACATCATGAATTCTGTCTTTAGTACTGTTTATTTGTAGACCGACTTGGCTTGCTGCAGACTCCACTTGTTCTTGGAGCTTCTGTGCCATTTCCAGATTGTCTGAGATTAGTGCAATATCATCAGCAAAGTCGGTATCTTTGATCATTTCAGCAGGATATCTGCTATTTTTCCTTTCCTGTAGGGTGAAGCCTAGATCCTCGAACCCTTCAGTAGCCATTCTTAGACCATAGTCCAATGCTATGATGAATAGGTATGTTGCTAAGGTATCTCCTTGAAGCACTCCTGCTAAGATGGTAAAGGAGTCAGTCTCTCCATCTGGTGAACGTACTTGAGCTGTGGTATCTGTGTACATCACTCCTACTGCTGTAACTATTGTGTGTGGTATTCCATAGGCTCTTAAGATCTCTAACATCTTCTTCCTATTGATTGAATCAAAGGCCTTCTTAAAATCCACGAACGTAACCACTGCTGTCAGATGCTTTGCTTTAATACCTTCCATCAGTCTTCGCAAAGTTAAAAAATGCAAGTTTTCTGGCACACAAATTATAGGAAGGGCGGAGTACTAAATTTGAAAAATTGTTTGATGGACTATTCCCATTACAATCCATAAAGTTTACATTTACATCGAAACTTTGCCCGTAATTTAATATTTTGTAATAAATATGAAACTGGTGCCTGGCCTCCGAAATTCGCGACAGTAGGAGCGCGGTTCGGAGTATGGAACTTCAGAGCCAAGTGGCCATGTTACAAATCTCATTATTAGCACTCACGAATGCTTTTGAATAAAGAGTTTCCACTCATTTCTTTCACCTCCCTGCATAGATTAATACCATGTAAATAGTTTCTTCTCTTTTACAGGATGAACTTTTTACCCCGCCTTCCTTACCCGAATGTGTAAAACCATATTCAGCAAATTTTCCTAATCCTATATGATTCAAGATTCAAGATTTATTCAAGTTATACAAACATCAGAATGTCACTGATCAGTACATTTAAAGGTAAAAGAATCAAATGGAATTTGGGTCACTGCAAAAGTTCAAATAAATTTGAACTTGTCGAGGCTGTGCCAAAGGTTTGAATTAAAATATTTTTGCAATGGATAACTATGTACATAAATAGTTTACTGGACTATAACAAAACAATACAAAACGAAACAAATATATATAAGTGAAGAAGGAACAAACCAAAAAAATGAAATTCTCTTCTATCACACAAAATAGTATACAGGGGTTACGTACTCGCTAATAAATAAGATTTGAGTTTCCTTTTAAATCCATTAAAATTTCTAGTTTGACATTATTCCTGAGGGAGTGCATTCCTGACAAGAGGTGCAGTATGTTTAAAAGAAAAGGACACAAAGTTTTTTGTACATTTGAATATATGAAATTTCTCTCTATGACGAGTGTTTTTGTTAAAAGTAAATAGCACTTGCAGATTTTCAGGCAGTGATGTATAAATATGTCCAAGGAGCATTAATCCTACTAAATACTTATTAATTATAACTGAACGAATTTGTATTAAAATAAATTGTTTATCGCCATTTGGTCCAATGCCACTTGGTCCAAAACCCAGTTCCCTAACTTCATTTAGTCTACATCCAGTCATCATGCTAGTCAATTTACGGGCCGGGCCAAAAGCAACTTGTCCGTAACAAATTAATAGAACGTCAAATATATACATTTTCTGCCTTTTGGTCCAATGAAAATTTGATTCATAATCATTTGGTCCAATTGCATTTTCTTCTAATATCAAGTGTTGGTCCAAGCATTATATTCCCTTTTGTCTTTGATTTTGTTTGGTCTATTTTATTTCCGTATAGTCCCATTTCGTTAAAAAAAATCATATGGTCTAATCATCGATTGGTCTAATTATCATTCAGCCATAAAGTTCATTTTGTATAATTGCCGATTGGTATATTTGCCAGTTTTGTCCATTAATTTTAGGCCTTTGTCTAAATGACCGATTAGTCTTAAATGTTTCGTCATACTAGCACACGCGCCACATACAATACCATTAGAGAGAGGGAAAAGGAAAAAAACGTGATAATGGTTGTTTTTGTTGGTTAAAGCGCATGACGCTGAGAAAAAATGAATGATTTTTGGACGAAAAGGTTGTTTGAAAATATGTTGTTTAACGAAATGATGTTATACTATATGAAAATTGGACCAAATGGTAATCTACGCCTATTTTTCTGTGTACATAGGTTCTGCAAGAGTTACAGATGAGTCCACTGCGAATGCATCAATGAATTTCAACGTCTTTACTGATGACATTGTTAATCAGGAAGGTACAAAATCTGTAATACGCCTAAGTTATAGATTAAAAAGTAGTCTAAAAACACGAAATTATGAATGACTAGATATCTGAAAATAGAGTAGAAATTTTGATAAAACTTTTAATGTATCATTCCTGCAGTAAAGTCTAGGTTTGAAATGAATTGTACGCTAGGAAAAAGGTAATAAAATAATCTCATTCCCCCCCACCCAGAAAAAAAAATATATATATATATATATAGGCATAACCGATAGGATCGGTGCACAATAGTAATCGCCATAGCGTATTGAGAGAGATAGTTGCGACAAGCTGAAGTGGATCCCTTCCATATTACTGTATGAGGGAGGGAACTATTATGAGACAAACATCTGCTATAATCCTTGTAAACATTAATTGCATTTGATTTCAACGCATTTACATTTATTTGGCTACTACGGCCTCTGGTTAACATGAGATTTACTAAGTTACCGTTATTTCATTGTAGATGCAGAGAAGGAGATGAATGAACATATCAATACCTTGTCAGAAGAACTCGGTATTAATCATTTCGACCTGTTTTGTGAAGCCATTGGCTTTGATCTGGAGCATTGTAAGAACCTCTTAGACTTGAACAAGTTTGATTACTCTGTAACCTACAAGCAACTACTCAGCAAATGGAAATTAGGAAAGACCCTGGAAGACACGAAGGACGTGTATAAGTTACTGGAGAAATACGGAATAATATTAAAATCCAAGTACAAAAGGTTTTAATTATAATTCGATTCCATTAATCTAATGAAGAACCTACACAAAATCATGTTCGGATTGCGTAATCGTCATTTTAATGGTCGCATGAATCTAGAGGTGATGGTGATTGAAACAGTCTTAAATCGGCGGTCTCCTGCGTTCACAGATACTGTTTATTAAAAAATATATATATAATTGCAATGTGTGTTTTCTTCATGTGTTTGAAAGTAATTTTGTAATATCTGGAAATATATTTTGTAATGTAATATTCAATTGTTCTGCATTATGTTATTGAATGCAGATTTTTCTTTGTTTAGGTTAATTTTTAAAAAGTATTTGTGATCTTGTTTTATTTAGTATTCACACATTATCTCATAAACATTATCGATTGCCATTGTTATAAATACATATCTCATTAAAAACAGCTGTTTATATGGATTTGAAATTTTTGGATTAATGTTCATACCTTCCTAACCTGTACAGAATAATTTTAATCAAATTTAGTATCGTTCATAAAATATTTTAAACAAATCTTCTGGTTCATAGACTATATTCGTTTGAGAGGGGTAAGTTTTAAAGGAGTATTCTAAGTGTGCTTCTATTTTTATTATCTACCTTGCATAAACACGCCTATTGAGCATTTTGGCAGATATTCAACTGTCAATATGGGCCTACCTAATAACGTTTACATGTAGACATATTTGGAAATCAAAGTTTATTTGCCTGTGAAAGCAAATGATCAATACAGTGCCTTATTAACATACACACTAAGAAATAGGGGTACATTTGGGGTGCAGATCGCTGCTACAATAGCAGCCACCTATAGGGTGCAAGTCTGCAATACATGGCTGCTATTGAAGCAGCGGTTTGCATCCCTAAGGGTGCTCTTTTGCACCTCTAAGGGTGCAAGTCTGCAAAATTGCACCCTATAGGTGGCTGCAATTGTAGCAGTGATCTGCACCCTATAGGGTGCAAATTTGTACCATTATTTTTTAGTGTGTAGTATTGTAAATGTCTTATCCTGTGATTGAATTGTACATAGACCATGTATACTATTTTTTTAAATGTTGTAGAAAGAAAATATGTCAGTTCAGTCAGATTATTATTTAGTTTTAAAGGTTATTATAATATTTTTAAAGATTATTATTTATTTTGAAAGGTTATTTCTTTGTTGTTCTTTCTTTACGTTTTCACTTCAATTATTTACATTGTATATTGTTTATATAGGCCTTTATATTTACGGATTAATTTTATGACAAGAAGTGAATGATATATTCTGCATCCATAATTCATAGTTTCATATGTAATCAGAATTTCTATATATAAGGAATTACAGCGTTATTTCACGACAAGGAAAAACAGATTCAATTCTATAAATGACACGATCGCAAATTTCTTTAGAAATTCCAATACCCTATTGTATGTCCCATGGAAATCATGTTCAGCTTACTTAATACGTCATGTTCGTACATTCCAATAGGTGACGCACAAGGCTATTGAAATTGCCTTGGGTTGATATTGCTATCGTATTAAAAGTTGATACAATCACAAGATAATTATATATTTAGTCGGTTATGCACAAGTTGCAGCCCTTCATCTTTTTCTTATTTTGACATCTTGATCAATACAATCACATGGACAGCTGAACAATAGCACGTCCATTTTGACTCTGAATGAAATGGATGCTGAACCCAAGATTTACTTCAACGGTCTTCTTCCTAGTTGAATAATAATGAAAGTAACTCGTGAACATTATTATCACAAACTTGGGCAATGTCGATTTTCAAGTGCTTTTTATACTGACCAGTGCTCTGTCATCCATGAACGAATTTCGATGAGTAGCCTACCAATGAAAGGAGACATTATTACGATAACTTTATATTATATTCCAGCAAAGTTTAATATTGGCTCTCAAATCTATCATAAACACCAACCTAGCCATTGTAAAAAAGAAACCTAAGGACATTGTATTCTTTTAAGAAGGCGGTTAAAACTACGGTTGTCCGAACAGTTTCTTTGAATACAGTGCCTTATTTGTAAATTATTGTAAATTTCCTCTATTCTAACAGGGTTGTAACAGAAAATAAGTCACTTTTTATCAAACCTATAAAAATGAATTTTGCCTTTAAACGTGGTTTAATTTGTGTTGGTATATTTCTTTCAATCGTTTAAATTGTAGACCGTCATACAAGTTTTTGTAATCCTTGTTTTTTCTTCTATTTAACCATTTATATTAAAAAAACAGGTGATGGGTTTAAACTTCATAATTTTCTTTCTGTGCATATCCGACATGTCCGATGAGCAATAAGCAATATACCTAATTGAACATCAAAGTGGAACGGGTGGAAACACTTACTCAGAATTGTTATTTCAGAGTGTTTTAAGCTTATTTCTATGTTTTTCTTCAAGTGT